ACTCGCTTGTTTAGTCGGACGATGTTCGAAGTTACTACTTTGTGAACTTGAGAAAAGAATATGAGACTACATAGCTCAGTTAGTAGAACACTGTCTGAGCGAATAATGCTGACCATTGTTTATTTGATTATTTCCCCTTTAATGAGAGCGCTACGCAATACTTTTAAAACGAACAACCAAAGCAGGCTGGTATCAACGACAAATGCTCCTTGTACAAAACCAACGTTGGGATGTTACAGTCAGTATTTTATCGTTTATTCCATCGTCTGTCAGCTTGAATAACAACTTGTTGACGCACCGGAAACTGTTGCCAAGCCCTGGGGTTATACGACTTTGTAAAGGGTTTTAAGAGAGCTTTATAGGAAAGGGGCTTATATCAGAGGGAGCCTATATCCGAGGGGGACTATATCCGAGGGGACCTATATCCGAGGGGGCCTATATCCGAGGGGGCTCATAACCAGAGTAGAAAAAGTGCTTCAAGACGAGGAGCTCTGGCAGTTGGTAACGCATCGTCAGTGTGAAAATTGCTGACCATAGACCACTTTCATAAATGGCTGCCGGATTAATATTCTTTTGTTTAAATTAAATTAGCCCTTCTGGCCTCGCTTGAGATAATGTACTCTTTTCAATTTTGTTCTGGAGAACGAGGCCAGAAGGGCTAATTTAAATTAAAAAAAAAATATATTAATCCGGCAGCCATTAATGAAAGTGGTCTATTGTTCGTTGGTTATTTCTCCCTCTAATTAGAGCGCTTTCCGATAGAGTCGTAAAACCAAAACCAAAGTAATTACAACAGTGACAGCTCAAAGTAAACCAGACCAAACTGCCTAGAGTATTTTCTATTGCATCTGATTGGTTGACAGAATAGTGCGCGTTTTTTTTGGACCAATCACAGAATGAAGTAAGACAAAAAAAAAGGAAAAGCAATCCCGGATTGCTTTCTACACCCAATGGAAAATTCCTGTCCCCGCCTGGTGCAACGATCCGACACACTTGAGACTATTTGAGTTCGGATGGTGGTATAACAACCTTTAACTTGGAAAAATCAACAAAATTTAAACAACTGAGTTGAAAACACACCAATGTGGTCGTAATAAACCTAGAAGGAACAAGAATGGCTAACGATAGAGAAGATTAAAACGGATTGTCACTGACGAACTAGAACATTTCAGACAAAATTTTTCAAGGAGCACCAACTAAGACGGCCACATATAAGGCTTAATAAACTAACTTGTAAACGATGCGACACTTCAGGAAGCTTTGTAATGGCGGGTTCTTTGTAAATGTACTCTTCTCCGTCCAAGTCTCCAAATTTTGATCCATAAAAACCAACTCGAAAATATGTTCCCAACATACGCTTTCCTTCCTGGAAAAAAACAAAAACAAAAAAACAAAACGAAATAATCGCAGCGTAAGTGAAACTTCTGTTCATATCCGGTAAAAGGGAATCAATTATTTTCAACTCATAGAGTAATCTGGTGTCTAAAGAAGCCAGTTAGCGCTTGTGTACGTATGCATACAAAAAAAGATAAAAAATGTTGACTGTCCACAAACACCTCAATTACTAACAGCACTCATAGAAAACATGATCAAACCTGCAGTCTATAAGAGCTATCTCTTACCGTCTGTATAATCAATATAAGTTCCAAGGGACACAAGTGCGGTATCATTCGGGACTATTCGGGACAGTGCCCGGTCCAATACTGAGAGAATATTGGTCTATAAGAGCTATCTGAATG